AAATTGGTGCAATTTAATGAGGAAGAACAGACCAAGTGGAAGAGCCAGGAGGATATACAGAACAAAACAAGAATGCACTCAGTGGTGATAAGAGCAGGATTTTCTTCCCTCTTTCTGTTGTGCTATTTCAGCAAGTGTATTCACTACCAAAAAAAAAAAAAAAAAAAGAAACAGAAAACCTTTTCAGCAAGAGATTTACCCGGTTTGTTTATTTGCACTCTCCTAACAGTTCTCTGAAAGGGGGTTTTAAATTTGGGAGATTAAAATCAGTCAGAACTAACTGACCCGCTTAGTCTGCTTTTGTTCAGAGAGATGCAAAACTACAAATGCTTTTGTGCATTCATGCTTAGAAAGCTGCACCTCACACTGTTTATATTACTAACCTCCAATATAAATGCACTATCCATTGCCGAAATTCCCCGGCTTAAACCCAGTAACATTCCAACTTGCAACCAAGAAATACATGAGAGCTTCTGGAAGAGCAAAGGCTTACCTTCTACTTTCTACTGTGCAGGTGTAAAACTGATTATAGTACTTAGGAGGGGCTGTCTACTCCAAGAAACATATTATTTATGGTCTTTTTTTCCTTTAAATATTCCTATTAACAAAGATTATAGGCTGTGCACAGCATCTCTGAGATAAAAGCAAGTGTAGAGAAGGTTTTTTTTTTCAGATGAGCACAATCAAAGCTTATTTTCTACTAGTGCTACCCAGATAATTTTGGAGGAGATGTTTTTCAAATGTCCTTAAAAAGCTTACATGGCCTTAAAAAGACCTATCATGGCTAAGCTAATGAAAATATCTTCTCGAGAAGTCTGTATCAGTTAAGCTTTTGCTATGTTGGGATGTAAGGCATTCTTTGTCCCACGCGCTACAATATTTAAAAGTTATTCAAGATTTTTAAATATTTTGAGAGCTTATACTAGTTTTTTCTTCTTCCAAAGTGTTTGAATTTTTAAAAGAATCCAGTTGGATTTGCCTTCTTAGGGATGCCTTGAGTATACCCTCAACGTATACCCTCTGCCTAAAATAGATCTGCCACACGTTTTCTGGGGTTAAAATTTATTAGGAAAACTTGTTCTGATAGCCAAACAGCCTTTTAATAAATCCATTCACATCCTTATTGATCTTCTCCCTAATAACATTCTGAAAAAAATATGGAAAAACAGGAAGCTGCTGTTTTTTTGTTTTTGTTTTTTAAATCTCAAACTACACTTCTAAATTACCACTTTTCCAACCCCACAGACACTTTTAATTCCAGTATAAAGTGCAACCAGGATTGAATTGAAATGCACCAGCATGGGAAGTTACTGATTCCTTTATTTGCAGAGTAGTTTAAAGGCAGATAAGGCAGTTCTTTTTTTCAGTAGGCAACTAGATTGTGTTTCAGTAGGCTGATCTAGTTGCCTTTTTCAGTAGGCAACTAGATCGCGTAAAGAAAGCATTGAGCTGCCTTGTGGCTGGCTAGACTTTTCGCTTCCTTTAAACTGCCTATCAATTTCAGAGACAGCAACTGCTTTATATCCCACAGTAATTTCTCACCAAATAAAAAGTTGTCGTTTGCTGAAATTCTGAGCAATTGCAAGCATTTGGCACAATATCACTCATCACTGGGTTTCATCTCAAACCAAAACTGGGTTTGCATCCTTTGTATCAAAAGATTGCAAGGGCCATGATGGTGATACTGTGATATCACCAGAAATTCATTTAAATAGACATGGAGTTTCTTTACCTTTTAGTAGTTTTATCATATAGGTGAATTTTTTGCTTGAATGTTTGAAATGTTAGTTTATTATAAATAATTTTTTATTAGGAAATTGACTTACAGTGGGAAAAATTTATTGCTCTATGTCTATGCCATTTGTTTTAATATTCTTTTCTGACTCATATGTTAGATACAGTTGAATCAATTCCTAGAATTAAAAATAATACTTTCTTCATTCAATATGCAGAGTGGTTCTTCCCAGAATCAGAAGTGAATCTTGGACTTTCTACATTCAAACATGAATCTATCCACTATGCTATCTCAGTCCTGTCTACTTAAGCTTTAAGAGTAAGAGTTACAGAGTCAGTCATATCAATGATTCAAAAGAATCATTCTTTGAAAACATTCCAGAATTTGCTGTACATGGAAAAAACACTGCCTTTGTCTTTGTTGTGAAAATTCCACGAAGCTGGGATTTTTTACAGTCTTCTTTTAGGCATACCTGGCATAAATACAGAACAAATTAGCCCCAGACTCGATAGCAAGTGCATCAGAAGTGTTTCTTAATGCCAGATATGTAGATTTCAGTTCCCAGAATTCCCCAACCAGTGTTCAGCAAGTATCCCCTCTTGGAATTCTGGGAGTTAGAATCCACATAACTTAACATTGCTGAAGTTAAGAAACGTTGCGTTAGAGCATGTGGGGATGATCAATATCCCTTCAACATGATCCCTGATAAGACCTTGATTGATCCAACTGGCATACAAGCAAACCAAATAATTTACATCCACTGTCCTTCTCTTGCACCTGAAACCATTCTCTGCCTTCTATGTATCCAGTGGCTGCAGTGCTGCAGTGGCTTCATATTTTTGCTGAAAAAAGTGCAAAGTATTAGTCTTCAGAAAATCAATATGGCTGAGTATCTCTGGTATGGAAAGCGGATGAATAAAGGCACTTAGAAACCAAAGAGTGGAAACCTGATCATATTACATCCTCTATAGAAACACAAAAATACTAGGGGGTAATTCAAAATAATTTGATGCCTTTGGAAAGCAGCACCACATCAAAGCAACCACTGAACTGTTCTCTAGCTAAGGGGAATGTTAGAAATAGACTCTGATGCAGGGCAAAGCTTTGTGAGCAGGAGAAACAGAGGTCCTTTTTTTGAATGCTTATAGATCTCATAAACACAACCCCAAACAATAACAATAGAAAAAGAGAAAAAACTTGCAGCATTCTATTTTTCAAAGCAGTGATAAACTAGACTCAATTTAAAATATTAATTCAAATCTCATCCAACCTAGTGCCATCCAATTATGCTGAACTTCAGCTCCAGTACCAGGTAGGGACAAGGCCTAAGGAGAAAAAAGATGGCTCCAATGGTTATTTTGAAATACCTTCATTCTCCTTATAGCATCATTTATGGCAATGTTCCAAATTCAGCATTCCCATCTCATTGAATTTTGACATAAATACAAACATTACTTCTGTTGCAAAGATCCAATAGCTGCCCTTCCCCATGAATATCTGGCTTACAAATCTCATGTAAATCAGTGTTTGCTATTTTCTCTCTTTTAGCTTTAGAAAGCTAAAACACTACAGAAGCAATATGTGTGATCTAGGCAGAAAAACTATAGCTGAACAGCTCAGAATATACTGATCCTACACTAGTACAATATAAATATACTGTTGTTGCCACCATATCATGATGGATTTTAATAGTTAAATATTTATTGATTTAGTATATTATTTTTGTTAAAATCAAATGTTCAATTTTCTACATATGGTTCTCGACCATAAATTTATTCATGGAATATTAGAACTGACTCTGGTTGCTCCATATCTCCTTCCATTCTTCTACTTCATCAACCACAATCAGCATAATTAATGCAAATCACCCAATTTATTTGACACGTTCACCATGGCATATTTTAATATTAAACACATAAAGCATCAGTCCTTTCTTAAACCAACAACAAAAAATCAGGCTTGGAATTAATTCTATAAATTACCATTAGTAAACTACTACTAGCAATTTATCCACAAGTGCCATGTGAATTAGATTCACAATGTTCTGGACAAAATATAGTTTCATTTGCTTCTACTTATTTTGTAAGCATTTTGTGCCTCTAAAATTCACTAGTAAGGAAAGCAAAGTGATAAAAAATTTTTTTTACAGCTTTCCATTTTCGTCAGATTGCTAAGAGAATAAAAGGTGTTTGAAACAATCCTGTCCAGTCTTCATCTTACCAAGTCCTTTAAATTGAACTGGTGACCTTTTCTGCTTCAAAGATTTATGCCAACACACCCATTATTCATCTCAAGAAAACTAAACCACTTTCTTTGATGACCTGATGGTAACAGCAGCAACAGACCCCACAACGACTACATGCTAGCAACAAAAAACAAGGAAACATTTTCTAGCTAGCCAAGTAACTTTTTGCCAGAGAAAAGAAAGAAAAAGTGTGAATCATATTCTTCCATTGCAAAACTTCCAGGCTTCTTTCTGATAGGAATGTATTATCAGAAGAGGAGAGATGTTTTAAAGCTATTCTTCAGAAAACTTTTCCATAAATGAACATTTCTAAAGTTTGAGCCACATGAACTCACTCACACTGAGCCTAACAATAAAAATCAAAGCACCCGATCAGAACAGTTCCTGAAATAAAAGTAATGACACTTTCCTATTTCTAGCATGTCTCCCCAACAGAAATCAAGCTACTGTTTCCGCATTTCCCACCCCACGGAATATTGGCTGATCATTTAAATCAAAAGTTGGGTGGGGCAGGTGAAGGAGGGGAAGAGAACAAGAGAGAGAAACAAGAGAGAAATACATACGGGAGATTAATTCAACTCTATTCTCCAGAAGACAATGCAGCAAAGTAAACTTCATCCCACATTATAGCCTCTGTCAGATAAAAAGGAAGCGTCTGTTTACCTAATTAGAGGACTCCAAAGGCAGCCCAAGAGATTAGTTCCAGAACATTTCCTGTAGCCACCAAAATCTTTAATTCACAACAAAATCTCTTTACAACCCAGGCAGGTGAAACATCTTCCATGTCTCCACCGCAACTCCTTTAACCCCTTTTGTGAGTCAAACTTTCTCATTTGCATGAAAGCCTCCTCCAGCCTATGGGACTTTGAACAGCTACAAGTTACACTAGCTGTCTTAACTTGCTTTCCGAGTATGATATCACCCATCTCCATGGTTACTTTAACCCCACCTGCCCGTACAGCAAAGTAACCTGTCAGATTCAGACCACAGGATACAATTTAGCTATTTGTCTTGAGTCAATGTTTAACCATCTGCTCCTTGGCACACAATCTTCCAGAAGTTAACTCACAATTAAAAACAGAAGAAACTTCTGTTTCAGAAGAAAGGCAAAGTAAGTTACTGCAGGAATATAGTGCTTTAAAAAACAAGTTGTAGCAATATATTGGTTGTCTACCTTTCCTGTCCAACAATGCAGAATGACTATTCTAAAGGGGTATCCACACCCCAGAATGGTTATGCCCACGAGCTGGATTTCACCGAGTTTTAATATTATAGTTTCAGCGGGTTCATTGTTTCCTTTTGTAATTATTGTTTTTTTTTTTTTAAGGACCCGATAATCCTCTCTAAGTAGTACAACCTGTCAAACAGGTTTCGCTTGGAAGCTTGCTCTCTCCATTTTATTCAGAAAGCCTGCCTCTTGCTATGAGCTCTTCCTAGCACACACTGTTTAACTCTGACTTCTTCCTGGCTTTAACAATGATTTTTATATCTTTTTTGGTGATGTGCTCACCTGTTGAAAGCTTACTCCCATGGACTTCAGTGGGAAACACTGTTCCTACAAAAGGAGAAATTTGCCATCACTTCTGGAGCTGCCTTTCTAAATCATGCAGAACATTTTAATAGAATACCACTTTTTTCTTTATATCTCCCTTCTTCTGGGGTATACATACAACTGGAATCACTTTGCTCAAGTCAGATTTCGTGGCCAGGTGAGCAAAACATCTTCTTCCCCATCCGTGTCACAGTACCCTCTGGAATCGTGATACTTTCTACTATCCTTTTTAGAAATATCTGCCAAAGTGTGTAGGAGATATTTTTGAAACTTGTGAAGGAGGCCATTTTGAGACTTGCTTAAATGGCTCTATTGCTGAGTTGGTTATTCTTACACTCTCTTCACCTAATTTTTAATAAAAGTGACTATATATTTTTTGCTTTGTTGTTTTCACATATAGTTTTATTCATTTGTTATGCACCACCCAGAATCAGTGAGATAGGAGACTATATACATTTGATTAATAAATAAGAGCCATACCTGTTAGTATATTGCTTGAGTCCTAGTACAGTATTGTGTACATGTCAGTGTTTAGAAAACAATTCTTTCAATAGATAACTATTGAAAACTTTCAAACCAGGACAAACAATGGGAAATAAAGGGACCTATCATGAACTATATTTTCCAAAAGTAGCTTTCCCACCATCCCCAAGACATATACAGAAAGGTGGGAACTTTAAATTCAGTTTTAAAACTTTGAAGTGACTTAGGTGTATGCTTTCTCTGGAGAAGCTCATTTACAGTACACACTTCTATTTTCTTTGAATCCTGTTAGGAGGAGGAGGAGGAGGAGGAGGAGGAGGAGGAGGAGGAGGAGGAGGAGGAGGAGGAGGAGGAGGAGAGGAGGTGCCTTTATAATCATGAAACTGACAAACATAACTCCTTACTGTCATTGTACCTGGCTGCTTCCCAGAAAAATTACAATGGATGTGATTGTGTCCCCATAGATTATTCAGACGAAAAAAAAGGTGGTTTCCTGGATCAGCTCCTTGATGAATGAAGCCCCGCAAAAGAGACAAACACAGGATGGCTAAAGCATTGAAATGAATCACCAGGACTATCATGTTTCAAAACACACACAAAACAAAACTTGGCACTCAGTATTATCAACTAGAGATTTGATTTTCTGTAGAGTTCATTTTCAAACTTCTAATTCATTTGCTATATCTTTTATTATTGGATAAATGCTGTTTGAGTAGCTATTTCTAGAACAGAGGGCACAGACTTTTCTGCTGATACAAATTCCTGCAGGCGTGTGGGGGGGGGGAGGGAGGGAGGGAGGGGGGGGGAGGGGGAGGGAGAGAGAGAGAGAGAGACTGAGACTCACACAGTGTAGGTATTAATGTTATTGAATATGTTTTATTCATAAAGTATTCATAATGTTTTATTTTAAGCCACTATTTCTAAACCACAAACCATTTGCAGTTTTAAAATAAATATTGATACTGATATTGCAATGTTCTAAGATCACTTTTACAGCACTTAATTTCAGTTTTTAGCAAAACCACATCCATAGCAACTCATTGATTCACTTTACAACCACTCTGTTTGCTTAACGACTGCCACAAAAAAGTTTGTAAAAATGGGTCAGTCACATGACCAACCATCAAGTCATACAAACATAATGGGCAGGCTCCATTATAGTCAAACTATATGTCAAGGACTACCTGTATGTTATTTACAGAAATAGACAAACACTAGACATAGACACACCTTTTTCAACTTTACCTTTTGCTTGTGAACCAGACTTAATTGCCCAAGACCAACTACTCTAGATGTGTATCTCTTGGTTGTAGCACATGGGCACAGCCCACAACTTATGCTTTTCTGCTTTAACCCACCCAGGAAATATTCAGAACATCACCAGCCGAATCCCATAATGCAGGGGTGAAATCCAGCATGTTCTGGAGAACCGATAGTGGAAATTTTGAGTAGTTCAGAGAACCAGCAAGTACCACCTCTGGCTGGCCGCAGAGTGGGGTGGGAATGGAGATTTTGCAGTAACCTTCCCCTGGACTGGGGTGGGAATGGAGATTTTGCAATATCCTTCCCCTAGAGTGGGGTGGAAATGGAGATTTTGCAATATCCTTCCCCTGGAGTGGGGTGGGAATGGAGATTTTGCAGTATCCTTCCCCTGCCATGCCCACCAAGCCACACCCACCAAGCCACACCACACCCACCAAGCCACACCCATAGAACCGGTAGTAAAAAAATTTGGATTTCACCACTGCCACAATGCCACTCAAAATGTCTCTCTCCGAAACAATGCTAGAATGTTAAGTAGTGGCTTTTAGCCCCCTGACAATATTCAGAGTACTGGTGGTAGAACTACAAGAGCAAACAACCAAAAAAGGGCTCGTTGGAATCCTTTTTGCTCAGAGTAGTTGAAATGTAGAAGCAGCTCCGTTATTAGGTTAGATCAGTGTTTCACAATGCTGAGATGTGTGGATTTCAACTCCCAGAATTCCCCTGCATCCTCAGGAAGCCACTGCTAGACAAAACCATCCTGACAATTTTTATTCAGTATCCAACCTTTTTTTTTTTTTTTTTTTAGGAAAGGTTGTCAAAGGTAGTCATGCAACAGCTTCAAAGGATCCTGAACAAAATAGATTATCTGGACACCTTTCAGTTGGGTTTCAGGCCTGGACAAGGGACTGAAACTGCATTGGTTGCCCTTTTAGGTGTATCCATCCTTGCTCTACTTGACTTCACAACAGCCTTCAGTACCATTGACCATAGTATTTTTCTGGACTGGTTATGAGGGTTAGCTCTGTATCATGCTGGTTCTCCTTTTCAGCTGTTCCGGTTGATGACATTCCACCCTTAGTCCCGCTGAGTGCCACAGAGTTCAATATTTTCTCTGCTCCTGATTAATACCAATGTGATTATCACACAGAAATTGCTGGGTGAGTCCATTCATAACCATGACCTGAGGTATTATCAGTATGCTGATGCTACCCAGCTCTGTATTTCCACTTTTTATGAAGTAATCAATGTTTTTCATCTCAATGCTTCAAGGCTGTGGATGGGTGGATGGTAAACAACAGGTTTCAGCTCAACTCTGGTCAAGACTGAGTAGCTTTGGTGTGGAGGCCATCTGAAATTTACTACCTGTAGTTATGGATGCGATGGCCCTGTGCACTTTCTGGAAGTCCTTTTGGACTCATGACTCCTGCTAGATGACCAGATGACAACTGTGCTGGGAAGGTATTTGCAGAGATTTGGCTTGTATGTTTATTGCGCTCATTCCTGAAACAGGAGGCCCTACGCTCAGTCACTCACACCCTATTCATCACCTGCATAGATTACTGTAACACATTGTACATGGGCTGATATAATTGTATGTGGGAATGAATTTGAGAGAGGGGGGAAGGGCAAGAGAGAGAGAGGAGACGAGAGATGTTGCCTAGGGAACAATCAGATAAGAAGGGTCCTAGCCTGTAGCTCCATAATGGGCAGAGAAAGAAACCCAGAAAAGTTCCTCCCCCTAACTTACCAGGCTATAAAAAAATATGGCAGGAGATTTATACTTTCCTCATGATTCTGCTAAGGTAGCCTTACAACAAAGTAGAATGAGCTTATCTGGTTGTATTTCTGCTCTGAACTACCTGGGAAAGCTGAAGGTTCCTTTGAAAAGCATGCGAGAGTGGGTACCACATATAAGCACTTGGGAAGGTAACAGCGTTCCATGTTTCACCGTATGCTCTGAGCTGTCATGTGCCAGCCACACGACCGTGGAAACGTCTTTGGACAATGCTGGCTGTTTGGTTTCAGAAATGGAGATGAGCACCAACCCCTAGAGTCAGCTTCAACTAGCAGGATAAAATCTATGGGGACACCTTTACCTTAAAGACAGAAGCGGTACCTACACACACACACAAACACACTTCTTGTAAATTAATTTAACAATTATCTATTACTAATTGTAATAATGTATACATATAATCAAAGGGCACGTGTTTAAGATTTATTTCCTTGTCTTCTGAGGAACTACGCTGCTCTAAAATTTACAAATTCATTAAGTATACAATTTCAACCTAATTATGAATACAAGATACAAGCTGGATATATTATTTCAAACTAATACATATAGATCTGTTCAGAAATGAGCTCCACTTACAATGGTGAAACGTAATTCCTGAAAAGCTCTGCAATTTTAATAAATTAGCAAATATGGCAATCTAAAACAATAAACAACAAATACAATTTACTGCATTCCTTCTGTAATCCATTGGGTTTGGAGAAATATCAAGTTAAATAATTCAAAGAGTGTCCCTACAGAGATCTGTTCAAAGCTTAGCTTGCAAGTATCTTCTATGCTGAAGCTAAATATTTACATGACTCAGGAAATATCTAATCTAAGAAAAAATAATTTCTAAATTAACTTCAGTTACCACCCTGAATATACTGTATCTCTGAATATACTGTAGTTCATTACACAAACAGCAAGCACAATCAATAATGTATCAGTGGAAAAATCTGAAGCTTGGAAACTGTTATGAAGAAAAGAAAGACAAAAGCAGCAGAAAGTGTTTCCAGAAATTACAAAGAAATCAGAAGTTTTGAGAGCAATTTTATATGCTAAATCGCAGCTACGGGGAAACATTATTGTTTCCCACATTATGTGCAAACTTCATATGCAAAAATTCAGCTATGTTTAACCACCAACACACACCAGCACACACACACACACACATACACACAAATGTAAGATATGGTTCACTCACTTCTCACAAAGACAGGTACATGGCCGTTTCCTTATATCCTCTGTACAGTACACTAGCATAATTCAGATTAGACCCTAAGCCATAATGTGCAGGTTTGGTTTTAGTTTAATAGATTGTACAAATTTCATCATTTGAGTATTTATGCTATTAAGGCTTAATATCTGAATCCCCAACCTATTATTTCCAGACACTAATACACCTACAAATACAGGTAGTCCTTATTTAATGTTCACTCGTTCAGTAACTGTTCAAAGCTAGTATGGCACTGAGAAGATCCTCATATTGCAGCCATATAATAACTCTGGGGTCACATGGTCACAATTTGGGTGCTTGGCAAACACTTGCAATTACAATGTCACAGCATCCCATGGTTACGTGATTGCCATTTGTGATCTTCACCGTCAGTTTCTGACAAGCAAGGTTAATGGCGAAGCCAGAAGGACTTTGGATGTTGCAGATGGTGATCATGTAATCATGGAACACTGCATAGTTGCATTGTTCCTTTATATTCCTCTAACAATTACAACTGGGATTGCTGGAGCTGTCATTGTAAGTTGGCATAGACATATGACATCGCACCTTTGGACCGCAAATTGGTAATGGAATTCCCACTCTTATTTATAAGTAGTCCTCAACCTACAATCATTCATGTAGCCACTGTTCAAAATTGACTTATAACAGTTACAACCACTGAAGTATTCTCACAGTCACATAATCAATATTCAGGCACTTGGCAACTAGCATGTATTTACAAAAGCTGCAACAATCTGGGGTGATGTTATTGCCATTTGCAACCTTCCCAGTCAGCTTCCAACAAGCGAAGTCAATGAGGAAGCCAAATTTGCTTAACAACCATTTAAACTCACTGAGCAACCGTGGTGATTTGCTTGACAACTCTGGCAAAACTGTTGTAAAATCAGGCACAACTCATTTAGCAACTGCTTTGCTTAGCAATCAAAATGCTGGTCTCAGTTTATTTATTTTTATTTTTATTTATTTTACTTCAAATTTATATACCGCCCTTCTCCCTGGGGACTCAGGGCGGTGTACAGCCAGATAAAAACACATAATACAAACATTAAGAACAGATTAAAAAGAAATACCTCAATTTGGCCCAAAATTTAAAAGACATACGAATTTAAAATCATTTTAAAGGATTTGTTAGGCCAGCCCGGCTTGTTGGAAAAGGAAAGTTTAAGGGCACGGCGGAAGGCACGGAGGTCTTAGATTCTCCTTATCTCTGGGGGCAGTTGATTCCAGAGGGTGGGTGTCCCCACAGAGAAGGCCCTCTCCCTGGGGGTCACCAGCCTGCATTGCTTGGCTGATGGCACCCCGAGGAGGCCCTCTCTGTGGGAGCGCATGGGTCGATGGGAGGTCGTCGGTGGCAGAAGGC